TGCGCCCCTCAACGCGCCGGTCTTGGCGAAGCGCACGACGCAGGTGGACAGGGCGAGGGGCGCGGGCGGCCCGGCGCGCCGGTAATCCTCATAGCCACGGCCGCCCCAGCCCGGGCCCCCTGCCCCGGCCAGGGGCTCTGAGGGCTCCGGAATCCCCGTGAATGGTAGGAGCGGAGGGTAGCTCTGTGGAACGAAGGGACAGAACAGGTTAGCAGGGTCTGTGATCCCCCACGCTCCACCACAACCCATCCCAGTCTCAGAACGAGAATCCAAAGACCCAGCCTTCAGGCCTCCTTCATCCTAGGAAGCTGTCCTGGGATCCTGAGTGCCTGGCTTCCGCACACAGACTTCCAAGGCCCCAGCCCAATCCTCTCAAATCCAAGAACAGGCCAAAGAATCCAGGCACCAAGCCCACACCTTAAAGCCCCAGTGATCCAGACCCTCAGCCCTGTCCCCTCTCAAGATCCAGGAAGTCCCAGCACCCAGTCCCCTCTACTCCCAGGTCCGGGAGCTCGGGACCCCAGCCATGTCCTTCAGGACGCAGGAATCCAGTCCCCAAGGAGCGTTAACCCCCTTGGAGCCCATTCCCCTCCCAATGAATTAAGCAGTCTAAAGAATTCCTTCCACACGTACGAAAAACTCCCTAATATACTCGAAGCATTGTCCAAGTCGTCCCCCACGCCCCTCTGAATTCAGAACTCAGAACTTTCCAAAATCTCCAAGACATGGGGAAAGCCCTCACCAACCCTCCGGGGAACCTCAGTCCCCAAACACTCTCCCCACCATCACTGCCACGAATTCAAGCCAACCATCCCCTAGAATCTGTTTGCGGTCTCTTGCCCTTCTGGGGTCTCAGCTCCCACCTCCTTCTGAACCCCGGCACCCTGCCCCACTTCCTCCCCCACCACCAGCCCCAGACTTCCGCGGGAGGTGGGAGGTCGCACCTGAGCAGAGGAGCGGTGGTGCTGGGGTGACGAAGCCGGCCCGAAGCCAGAAGCTGACTCCACGGTAATGATAGTGGCCGCCGGGGCAGTGGGAGGCGTCTCCTGGCGGCTGTGACTGGAGGAGGACTCGCTGTCCACATGGGACTGGGGGAGAGTGGCGGCCTCAGAGCCGGACCCCCGGCACAGCGGATGCCCTCACATAGACCCCCTCCCATGGCGAGCGAGGGCTCTGCAGCCAGACAGGCCTGGGTGCTAGCCCCGGCTCTGCCACTGACTGGTCGTGTGACCTCCGGCAAGTGAGCTCATCTCTTTGAGCCTCAGTTTCCTTCTCTGTAAAACGGGGATCATAATAGTGTCTATTCATAAGGATGTGGTTAGGACCCACTGTAAAGGGTATAACACATGCCTGAAGTTACAGGAAGAGCTAGAAATGGTTACTGTTTTTATTACTGGACCCCCTCTTCTTTAACCGCTCAGCTCTCTGACCTACCAAACATCCAAATATCTTTCTCCCTTCTCAGAACCCTTCTCCCTTGGCCAGTCAGCCACCTTCCTGACTCATTCCCACCTCCACACCTTGACTGGGGCAGCTCCACCCACCGGGAAGGTGTTCCTTCCAAACCACCTGTCCTTTACAAACTGAAAAGTCACTTCTCAGACCGTCAGTTTCTTTTCTGTAACCTGGGGGGTCATTCTGACTTCATCCATTTGCTATCTTCAGGAAACATTCATTGAGCACCCACAGCGTGCCAGGCTCACGCAAGGCCATTGCCAAGAACGTAGATGGAGCATGGGAAGTCGGCATCTTCCTTGAAGAAGCACCAAATACGTGGGACCTGTCTGCGCGATTTCTGTAGCCCCACCCACCGCCCCCACGACCCTGCAATTCCCACTTTTCTGCCCAGGGAACCAGTTTTGTTCTTCGAAGTCTCAGCAACTCCCACTGTTCCCAGCAAATGCCAAATCGCATCTGACATCATGTGCATTTATTCATTCAATAAATGTATTCAACACATATTTACTGTATACCAGGCACTGTTTTAGGTCTCGGAGATGCAGCAAGAAAGCAACAAAAGATCCTTTGCCCTCCTGGAGCTAGCACTCTAGCACAGGAGACAGGCAATAAACTAACAGACAAGAAAGCTGTCTACACTGGGGCGCCTGGGTGGCTCAGTCAGTTAAGCGGCTGCCTTCAGCTCAGGTCATGGTCCTGGGGTCCTGGGATTGAGCCCCGAGTCAGGCTCCCTGCTCTGCGAAGAGCCTGCTTCTCCCTCTCCCCACCTGCCCACCCCCGCCCCGCGCTCATGCTCTGTCTTGCTATCTCTCTCTCAAATAAAGTCTTAAAAAAAAAAAAAGAAAGAAAGAAAACTGTCTATATAGGAAGGAAATAAGGAAATATCTTAGAAGATGGGAAAAAATTAGAACAGGATAGGGAGCATCAGGACATCACAGTTTTGAACAGCTTACTCAGGAAGGGCCTCACAATGAAAGCAAAATGTGTATAAAACCCTGAAGGAAGTAGGGGGATGAGCCACGTGGAAATTTGGAGAAGAGTATTCCAAGACAGAAGGGACAGCTAGTGCAAAGGCCCTGAGACAGGAATGTGCCTGCCATGTTGGAGTAACAGTGAGGAGGCTAGTGTGGCTGGAGCAGAGTGAGCAAAAGGGAGAAGAGGGGGCCAAATGGTATGGAATCTTACATGCTTTCTCCTTTACCCTGAGTGAGATGGAACCCTGGAAGGGTTCTGAGTGGAAGGATGGCCACAATCTTAGATGCCAATAGGGTCCCTCTGGCTGTGTGTGGGGAACTTCCAGACAGTAGGGAATAGGAGGGGGGCAGTTGACAATAAGAAGTTGGTGAGATGTTCCGGTTGGCAGATGAGGTTGGACAGCACCAGGTTGGAGGCAGATGCTAATCATTTTGAAGGTGAAGCCAATATTTGATGACAGATTAGATGAGGAGCATAAAAAAGGACAAAAGTCAAGGATGACTTCAAGGTTGGTACACTGAGTAACTAGAAGGATGGGATTTGTCATTAATTTGTTCACTATAAAAGATATGGCTTATCCTTTTTTTTTTTTTTTTTTTTAATTTTCTGCCTTTCCACGCTAGAATAGAAGCTCCATGAGGAAAGGGACTTTGTTTTGTTCACTGATGTATCCCCAGTGCCTAAAACACTACTTATTTGCAGGTGCTCAATAAATACTCTTGAATGAATATGTGACTCACAATAGAATAGAAAACTAGGATAACAGGCATGAAGTTGACACTAATAGTTTGGGCCCAAATTTGTGTCCCCAGCATGTGGCATGCTGCCTGATACACAAGAGATGCTCAAGAATGTTTGGAGAATAGAAATAAACCCCTGCCCTCCCAGCAGAGCTGCATCCTGGAGACTCACCGTCAGAGGGCAGGGAGTCTCTGCGGTGTCCTGGGAAGGGGAGGAGGAAGAGGAGGAGGAAGAGGGGGTAAGCGAGCCTGGGGCAGGGAGAGAGGCAGACAGTGAATTCCCTGGGCCCCAGCTTCTCCCAGTCCTCCCACCCCATCCTCCAGTGCCCACCACCTGCGCCACTCACCTCGACCCAGCGTGGCCAGCGCGGCCAGCAGGCTCTTCTGGAACTCATCAGCCTCTGCGGGACTCTGGAACGTCAGTCCAAACTTGCAGTCACCCAGGCTCCAGTGATGGAAGATGGGGTTCACTTTGTTGTAAACCAAGCCTGGCCTCAGGGTACACTCCAAGGTGGTCTGAGGGGGCAGGAGGGGGGCAGGTCAGACACCCCCTTCCAACCATGCCTGTGACTTCCTCTCCACCCTCCGCCTATCTGCATACCTCAGCATCCCACAAACTTCATTTGTCAATCCTAGGTGTACCCCTGAACCCTGATCAACACCTCAACACCACTTCCCAATTTTATTGAGCACACCTCTGATACCCCAATATTTCCCCCAAGCCCCTTGATCCCTCTATTTTCCTATACCCCCTTCTGATAACCCCATGTCCCTCCTTCTGACTCAATAATATGCCCCAAACTTTACTGAGCAGCTCAAAATATTACTGTCCATCTCCTTCTGATGCCCCAACAATCTCCCAAAATGCTACCCCAAAATCCTTATCAAACTCCCATAGCTTTCCCCTCAGATGCTGGCCAACAACCCTAGGCGTTTCCTCACATCCTTGCCCAACATCACCATATCCAAATCACACCAGTTCAAATCCCCCTACGTTGTTCCTTCTGACCCCTGCTCTGAAATGCAAGCCATCCCCCAAGCCTTTTCAAACAATCCAAGTCTTTCTACTACACCCCCAGCTGAAACTTCAACCGTTGGCCTTCCAAATCATGCCAAGCAGCCCAGAATATTCCTGCTGAACCCACATATAGGATTGTAAACCCTATTTGACACGTCCAGATGGTCCCCCGCCAAATGCCTCCATATACTTAGAGCAGACAGCGGCCAGTGGTGTGGGGCCTCCTGGTAAGGATCTCTGAGCAAGATGGAGCCCCAGGAGGGTTCTGAGCAGAGGGAAGGACATGATCTGAGTCAGCTGTTAGCAGGGCCCCTGTGGAACAGACCGAGGTTGGGGGATGGAGCAGAAGCAGGGCAAGAATGGGGAGGAGGCTGCTGTGATGGCCCATTGGGCAATGGCAGTGGACAGGACCTGCTCGATACCCCAGATATTCTCAAAACTCCCAGTTGTTCTCCGAAAGACAGATACTCAGTTCCAACTACATCCCACGCCCGGGGGTTGCTTCTGGGCTGGGAGATGACCTGACCTCATCTCTGCACTCCCAGCCCCATCCCCTTCCTTCCCCCGTCCCCACCCTACCCCCACGCCCCAGGGTGGCTCACTTTCTGGTCCCGAAGGCGCTCCCCGTGGATGACGTAGTGCCCCTGGCGGGCCCCCCCCTCGGGCCTGGCCCCTCGGACCCGACAAACGCTCACCTGGCTGAGGCCCCCGCCCCCCACAGGCAGCCAGCCCCCACTGGAGTCATCTCGGGCCATCACCACGGCTCGGACCGGAACCATGTACCTGGAGGGCGTGGGGAGGCGGGGGCAACACAGTCAGTGGGCTGCAGGGCTACTCTCCCATTCAGAGTTCCCCCAACCCTCATCCCCCCCTCTTCGTCCCTCACATCTGGATCCGCTGCACCCTCACGCACCGATTTTCACTTTCTCTGACATCCCTGCCTTCTCCCCACCCCCCGCCCCATGCCCACCTTCTTCCAGCATGGCTTCTTTCTTCCTCATGCCATCTCTTTTCTCCCAGGCTTAGCTTCTCCACATCTACTTTTCCTCTCCATACCCACCTTCCTCCCTTTCCCCATCGGCCCCATCCTGACCCCCATAGCCTCGGTTTTCCACCTCCCTTCCCCCTCCGGCTCTTCCCCTATCAACCCAGTCTCCTTCTCTTCCCTCAGCACATTCCCACAGCCCCACCCATCGTTCCCCCTCACAGCTGGGTGCCTGCGCATATGTATTTTCTTAGAGCCCATCAACTCAGCTCCAGATCCCCCTACACTGCCTCCACACTCTGCCGCCCAGGCCACTGGCCGGGTGAGAAACCCAGGCTCTCTCCCCCCCACCTTCCCGGATTTATGAATGAGACCGGATGCAAAGCTCACTGAGTCACTCAGCAACGGGAGATGGGCAGGGAGCAGGGAGAGAACCAGAAATGGCCAGAGAGAGGCCGAAAGGGAGATGGAGGCAGAAGAAGCCAGAAACGGGCGACCGAGACACAACCAGAGTGCAATTCATTCACAAAAATCAAGCCTGCTCCCTCAGGTCCCAGCCCAAGGAAGGCAAGGGGGAGACATTGAGGGGAGGTGGAGAATTGATCCCTCCTCCTCCCCCTCCCCGCCCCAGCATCCTTCAGAACCATCTTACCCCGCCCCCCAGCTCAGGGGACGTAGCCCTCCGCCCAGTAATCCGGATCAGCGTCCAGCCCCTCACTACCACCTAGCGCAGGGACCCTGGAGTCTCAACCTTAGGGACCCAGGCAACGAGCTCTAGCCCCTTCCCCCACCTGCAGGCTGCCGGTTTTCCCCGGCCCTTCGGGAGGGGAAGGGGCGGTCGCAGCGCCCCCAGCCCCCTTTTCTCAATGGGATGGGATTTTGTGAATGAGCAGTCACGTGATACTGCTTCCTTTGTCCGCCCGCCTCCCCCCGACAACAGGTGAAGCAGAGAAAGAGGGCAGGGGTCCCCCAGGGCCTAGCTGGGATGGGACGCCGGGATTTCTGAATGCCCTATGCTCCCCACACATCTGTTTCCCTGGGGGAGTGGTCCCTAGAGTTCCTCAATGGTGGGGGTCCAGTTCGGAATTTTATGAATGGGGCGTCCTCGGAGAAGTCCAGGCCCCCAAATGGAGACTGGTACCCTAAATGGCTGCCGCGCAGTTTAGGGGCCCCCAACCCCATGTCCTTCCACCCGCGGTCTGGGGGGCGCCCCGGTGGGCAGGAGGCGCAGCGCGGTGCAGGCCGCCCCCTCACCAGGACAGGCAGTCTGTCAGCCCCCGCCCCCTCGCCCCCCTTGGCACCTGCCTGGGAGGCTCCGGCCGGGCTCCGAGCGGCGGCGACTTGGCCTCCTCCTCCTCCTCCTGTTCGCTCCGGCTCCCTCGCTGGCTCCGGCGGCGCTAGAGACGGGCACCGGGAGCCGGGGCGACGGGGGAGGGAGGGGGAACCTGGAAGATGGGTGAGGGGGAGGGGGCGGCTTGGGGGAGGGGTAAGCGCGAGGCGGGCGTACTTGCCCGCTGGGTCCTAGAGCCCGTCACTGGCTCCAGAGAACAGCCCCCCAGCCCCCATTTTCTCAGGATCCAGAAAGGATCCCCCACTTTCCCACCCATCCGCGCCATTGATCCTTGAGGATGTGGGGAAGGGTCCGGGACATGGCCTGGCCTCAGGGTTCTAAAGAGGTGAGGGTCTTCGCTTTGGGTTTTAAATGGGAGGAGCTGAGTACCTGATAGGGTTCGAAAAGGGGTGGGGCGAGAAGGGAGCCTTCGCAAGGGGGCGGGGTCGGAGGGCCTTGGGAAGGAGAGTCGGTGAGGAAGCCGAGGGCGCGGAAAAGCGCTTGCGTCATGGAAGGGGCGGCTCCGCGGTGGATGGGCCTTCTAGGCAGGCCCGAGGAAGGAGAGGGTCTTGAGAAGAGACGTTGTGGGGTCCTAAAAGGGTGGAGTTTAGAAGTAAATTGTCTTATGGGCGGGGCCCATGAGAGAGCTGAAAGGGAGGAGCTACGTAGCAGTGTTCGTGATGGGCGGAGCTTCGAGGGAGGGACTAACGGCGAGGGGCGGAGCACTTATAAAGGGGAGGAGCTAAGGATAACTTTCTAAAGGGGTGGGGCCTAGGACTTAAAGCCCTGGGGGCGGGGAAGAAGACGTCGGAATATTTCAAAGGGAGATCCAGGTTCGTAAGGGGCCGGTCTTTAGCTGGCTCACCGGAGGGCGGGGCCTCGAGCCCGGGGGCGGGGCCTAGATCTCGGGGTCCGCCCTCGCTGTCTCGCCCACTTGCCATCACCCGCTTCATTCCCGTTCTTTTCGGTTATTTTCTGCTACGGCCGTTCCCCGCCCTGCCCTGGGCCCAGGGGGCCGCGGTCTGAACTTTGGTCGGTTGGAGGAGTCGGTGAGTGGGAACCTCTGGGCGAAGGCGGGGCCAGGGCGGAGTTGGAGAAAGGGGTGGGGCCTGAGTGTTGAAGACGGCTGGTAGACCAGGAGCCGGAAAAGTTTAGGAGTGAGGCCCGAAGATCTGACGCTGCCTGGGAAGAGGGCGAGACTCAAATGATCGACACAGAGACAGGGATCGGAGGGTTAGAGGTGAGGACGAAGGGGTTAGCAAGACAAGAATACCGCGGAGGCGGGGCCAGACCTGGGGCGGGTGCTGAGGCCCGATACCGACAATCGGGGGCGGGACCAGAGAGCAGGGGCGGGCCTGGGCCTCCGAGCCAGGTTAGAAGACTGAGAGAGAAGTTTGAACTCCTTGCAGGCCTTACAGGCTCCTGAGCACAATCATCATGAGTGATGTGGCCTGAGTGACTGACAGGAAAGCGGGCAAGACCTACCTGCTGCGTCTTGGAGCCTAGAGACCGGGGACCTGGTCAAAGTGTAGGGATGTGACTTGAGGGACAAGTTGGGTAGGGTGAGGGGACAGGGACAGAACCTTAGTACACTAAGAGAATGGAGCCTAAGTGTCTGAACAGCACCTGAATGGGGCCATGAGGACGAAGGTGTGACGGTAGTTGATTGGGGCGATGGGGAAGAACGCTTGAGCTTCGAGAGTCAGGAAACAGGAATGCGGGTAGCGACTGGTGCCTGGGTGGATCTTGGAACACAGGGGCGGGTCTGGGGTGGACGGGTAGGACCAAATACAGCCAGCCTCTTGGAGTCCCCACAGTTTTAGCAACCTGACTGGCGGAAGTTTTTCTGACCACAGTCCCCGACCTCCGTCAGAAATGGGGAACGTGCAGTCGGAGCCGGCTGCGGGCGGGAGCTCCCGAAAAGAGCAAGCCTCGGACCGCTCCTCTGACTCCCGCCGGACGTCCCTGGTGGAGCCCGAGGTGACCCCCTCTTCCCCAGCCATGCGCCTGGCTCGCGGGCTGGGCGTCTGGTTCCCTGGCAGCTCCGCGCCCCCGGGACTCCTGGTACCCCCGGAGCCCCAGGCCTCAACCTCGCCCCTGCCCCTGACCTTACAACTGCCCTCGCCAGTGACGCCCCTTTCAGAGGAGGCGGCTGCGGCCGCGGTCTCCACACCACCCCCGCCCCCCGTGGGGACCCTGCTGCCCGCGCCGTCTAAGTGGCGAAAACCCACGGGCACTCCGGTGCCCCGGATCTGCGGTCTGCTGGAGGCGAGCCATCGCGGCCAGGGCGATCCTCCGAGCCTCCGTCCGCTGCCGCCGCCGCCCCGGCAACCAACTGGAGAGGACCGCAACTCTATCCCGGGGGCCCCATCCCCTGCTCAGCCGCCCTTGGAGCCGCGGAAGCTGCCACCACCGCCACCTTCCGACCGGCAGCCCCCGCACCACCGAATCATTCCTGCTCTGGCCACACCCGCCGCAGCCCCCACAGAAAGCCAGGTCGGGTACGGCAGCGAGGGCCAGACGGCCGTTGGAGCCCGCAGAGGGGCGCCTCCCCAAGCGGGCGAGGGCGAAATGGCCCGGCCTACGGTCTCCGAGTCCGGCTTGAGTCTGCTGTGTAAAGTCACCTTCAAGTCGGGGCCCACTTTGGCCCCTCCGGCAGCCTCGAGTTCCTTAGCGGCCAAAGCCTCGCTCGCGGGCGGCGGAGGCGGAGAACTCTTCGCTGCTGCCTCGGGTTCCATCTCTTACGCTGAGGTCCTGAAGCAGGGGCCCCTGGCCCCTGGGGCCGCTCGACCCTCGAGAGAGGTCCCTCGGGGGCCTCAGGAAGCAGAAGGCGGTGATGGAGACGGCGAGGGGTGTTCTGGACCCCCCTCGGCGTCTGTGTCCCACGTCAGGACCCTTCCGCCGCCACCGTACACCACCTTTCCAGGCTCGAAGCCCAAATTTGACTGGGTGAGCCCTCCCGACGGCCCCGAACGCCACTTCCGTTTCAATGGATCCGGCGGCGGTGTCGGGGTGCCCCGACGGCGGGCGGCCGCGCTCTCGGGGCCCTGGGGCTCCCCACCGCCTCCGCCAGGGCAGACGCACCCAGCTCCCGGGCCCCGGAGGCCTGCACCGGCCCTGCTGGCGCCGCCTATGTTCATCTTCCCGGCGCCCACCAATGGCGAGCCTGTGAGCCCGGGGCCGGGAGGCCCACAGGAG